GCTGTAAAAAACTAGAGATTAAAGACAGTGACAGCCACAGAATAAGGAAAGTATTCATATGTTAACTGTTGATCGCTTAGAGTTTTCAGCTACACTTGCACTCTCGGATCATAATTATTGAGAGGGATGTATTTAGCAGTTACTCATTGGCATGTCTTGTTATATGCTGGATCCTGAATACACAACCTTGTTGTTTTTAAGGTGCATTTATTTTTTTTTATAAGAAGGCATTAATAACTAACCTGTCTTCTAATATAACGTCTTATCACTGTCTTATCACATTTTTCTTTAAAATACAGACTTTTTTTTTTTTTAAGGTTTTATCTATTTATTTGACAGAGAGAGCGCCCGAGCACAAGCAGGGGGAGTGGCAGGCAGAGGGAGAGGGAGAAGCAGGCTCCCAGTTGAGCAGGGAGCCTGATGCGGGGTTCAGTCCCAGGATCTTGGGATCATAACCCGAGCCAAAGGCAGATGCTTAACCGACTGAGCCACCCAGGCACCCCCAAAATACAGACTTTCTTATTAAAGATTTTTATTTATTTTTTTGAGAGTGAGTGATGAGAGAGAGAGTGCGCGCGCACGAGCGGGGAGGGGGGCAAAGGGAGAGGGAGAAGCAGATTCCCCACTGAGCTGGGAGCCCAACGTGGGACTCGATCCCAGGACCCTGGGATCATGACCTGAGCCGAAGGCAGACGCTTAACCGACTGAGCCACCCATTGCCCTGTGTCACCTTGTTCTATGTCACTTACGGTTAATTATAAACCACCAAACACATGATCTTCACATATGCCACTGTCAAGTACAACATAATCATTAGTTACTGGATGACTGAACAGAATGTCAGTAAGACTGAGCTATTGGAAAAATAAGAGATTTCCAGAAATAATGTTTATCTCTCATTTGGAACTATTGTTGTTGTGTTTGACAGTGCCACCTTGCAGGTTATTAGTTTCAGAGTATGACCTGAGGGTGCTCCCTGACAGAAGTTTTAGGTTATTCAGTCCTGGACTCAGTTAACTTCTAACACTGATGTTAGCATATTCTTTTTTAATGTAAGAAAAAACATTATCCAGTGAAGCTTCTGGTTTGTAGAAAACTGCAGTCTTCTGGGGGAAAGAAATACCCGTAGAGATGAAATTATAGAGCCTGTATACTGTATAGCATCATGAATTAGGAAAGTAATTTCGAATTAAACTGACAAAAAGTGTAATTTTTTTCATGCCAACCTTTAAAAAAGGTTTCTTCTCTATTTCTGTTCTATTTCCTTAGAGCAGAATGGTCAGGATATTTGTTGCATGATATGTTAAAGTTATTTTTTAGCAGATGTGCTAAAATTATTAGTGCTCCATAATTTTGGGAACAAATTCTTGATGGAGGAGACCTTTAAGACAATGCTTCATCAGCATTATTGTTGGTGTAAGACTGTTTTTGGGAAACCTAGGAAACAGTACTTTTATATATTGTACTTTCATACATTTGAAGCAACTCTTATAGTTTTAAAGTTACGTCATTTTGATGGTGATTTTTCTTCTGTATGATAGGTATGCTTAAGAAATAATCCTCTTTATCATGCTGGAGCAGTTGCATTTTCAATTAGTGCTGGGATTCCTAAAGTTGGTGTCTTAATGGAGTCAGTTTGGAATATGAACGATAGCTGTAGATTTCAACTTCGATCTCCTGAGAGCTTGAAAAGCATGGACAAAGCTAGCAAAACTGCTGAAGCTAAGTAAGTACTATACTCTGACTGATCATGGTTTTATACCAGTTTCTAGTTTGCTCTGTATATGAGTCAAGGCTGACTTAGAGGTGCACAGTGACATAGAAAGGTGCTCCCGTGGTGGGTCTCATGAGGATGCCTAAGAGTTTTGAAAGGAATTGGTCAAATTTAAAACTATTAGCAGCTTGGTTAATATTTGTATGTTATAGTTCTTGATGTTCAGCCGCTGGAGTGACCATGTAGAGATCTCTTTTTGTGTCTTTGTTTTGTCTTTAGAGTGTGTCCTTTGCCATGGTTGTGTGGCAGTAATAATGTGTTCAGCCTTACCTGTATCAGGCCAAAACTTTGCCCTTCTCTATCCCTGTGTTATCATCTTAATTTCTGCCTAATGTCTTATCTGCATCTTGATCCTTGGAAGGGTTTTACAAGTTAACGTGCTGGGAAATTCTATTAAGGATTTGTAGATTTTTGGATGGGGGGGGTATTGCAAACAGAGATACCAGGGAATTGTGTGGAGCCCACACACAGAGTCTGGCTTATTGTTTGGGAGCCGGATACAAGATCTTACTTAACACTTGTACTTTTAGAAGCATCTACTTGTCTCTAAAAATACTGATGTGTGATGTAATTTGGTTGTTTGTTATATGAACTTAAGAAACTTTAATAAAGTTTATAAACCTTTTTTCTTAATCTTATAAAAATGTGTGACCATTATAGACACATGGATGAGTAATGTTACATTTCAGAAATATAATTTTAAATGTTTTTATGTATTTCCTTTTTTAAAAAATGTATACAGGCATTGAAAAGAATTGCTGGGGATTGTACTATACATACAGATTTTAAAAGTGCTGGAATTTTTTCGTTTGCTCAAACGCACGTAATGAATGTAAATTTGCTGTTTTTATTGCTGCTCTTCCTCTTAATGCAAATTGAAGTTCAGAAAACACAAGGATTACTGTTAAATAAGTTAAAAAATAATCTTTAATAAACCAAAGCTATTGTAACTTATGCCAAATTAAGACTTCTTGCTTTGTTGTAGTGCTCTCTCTTTCTCTCTCTTTCCCTGCCTTGTTTTACAAGATAGATTTGTAGACTTCCTCTCTAATTACAGTGATTTTTATCCTAAAAATAAAAGTGACAAAACACATTTTCATTATTTATGAAATTTTGTAAAGGATGGTTAAAATAGTTTTGGTGTGCACAAGTATAAATGAGTTTGAAATAGAATATGCTATTGAGATTGTGTAATTTATGAAGTTTTTCATGTCTTCCTTGAAATTTGCCATCTTTATTAATAAACTTAGTAGAAGAGCTTAGTGAAACGAAACGTTAAGAACATAGTCGTTTTCACGTGAACAGACTCTTCTTTGCTAAGTCCTTGAAATGCATTCACTTTAAAGGCATGCTAGTGATTAGTCGGCATCAGCCCATCTCCACAATCACAAGCTTTGCGGAGTGGCCATGAGTGAGTGTTCATGTGTGCTTGTGCTGAGCACTTTGCCAAGGTGCTGGTGAAAATAATACTGGTTTTCTGTGGACTTTTTCTAAACTCGGGTGAAATTCCTGGTAGAGGTAATAGGAGACAAGGGGGTTAAGATGATGGCCTTGATTATAAAATATACCAGGTTGATCTGTATATAACAAATTTCTTAGTAATAGGTGACTTTTCTGACTAAAAATTGACTTCTGCCTTTTAATGCCTAAAAATATTTCTGTTTTTACTACCTGTAGAATATCTGTTGTTGTTGACTGCAGTTACCGTCTTAGGTATAGTTAATGAAATAACTCAGTGCAGAGGAATAGCTTATTAATTCTGTAATTTCTCATTTCGGTTATAACAGATGATGGTTCATCAGCAGATGGTTCAAGAATAAATTTTTGTAAACCATTGTGAGTAGAGTTCCTTCTTTGAACTCTAAGGAACTAAAGATCTAGTTGGCATTTTATTTATTTTCCTTTACCATTTTCTCAGTTAAATTGCTATGTCCAAGTCAGGGTTCACTGAAGTGTGAAACTTGTTTGCTCAAGAGGCTTAGGCTAAATTGAGTATAGTTTTTATTGTTATTCCTAGGTAAGGCTTATCTGAATCATTGTTTCATGTTGTTGATAGCTTTATATGGTGTATTTTTCTTTCCTTTCTTTTAAAACATTACTGAGAATTTGAAGTATGCACTGTGTACCTTTTTCAGTATCTTGAGTCCTAGAAATAGACCACTTTGTATAAGTTTTTATTATTTCATTCCCTTACAAGAATAAACTTGAGTCTTAAAAATCATCTGACAAGTTCCTAATATTTCATTTTCCTAATAACGAGGAGAATCTTATTTCTAATCTCAGGCCTGAAAGTAAGCAGGAACCAGTGAAAACGGAAATGGGTCCCCCCCCCCTCTCCAGCCTCCACATGCAGTGATGCGTCCTCAATTGCCAGCAGTGCATCAATGCCGTATAGTAAGTTTTATGTGTAGTGTGTGTGCATTGGTCAAAATCAGGCCCCAGGCGGACAGCTGTGTTCAGTCTGTGTATGATTTGAGGCAGCTCATACACCATTTTTAATATCTTTTCGTATAAATTGTATTTCTACCAGTTTCATTTGTGTGTGTGTGTGTGTGTGTGTGTGCAGCTTTATTTAAGTGAAAAAAATGGTATTTACAGTGTTGTTATTTCTTTTGTTTTTGAGAGTTACAGTGTTTTATAATTTGTAAAATGCTTCACAGTAATAGTGGGAAATAACTGCCACTAATTAGACTATCTGCCCACCTTTTTTGAGACTGTTTTTATTGTAAATTGGTTATGGCTCGGTCACAGTTTTTGCTCAGAATTTGTAGAATTTAGGAACCTAGACTCACTATTGCACCTTGGATTTAAAGAGTTTTTTGAAAGGTCCTCAAAATAAATTTATTTTATAATATATTTACTTTGTACCTGAGGAAACCGAAAGTTAGACTTTCAATAGTTAATGTGATAGTTTTAAGAATAGCCTAACATCTTTTATTTTAAACCTTGGTCAGATAACTCTAATTTTAAGGGTTCAAAATAAGTTTTTTATTTCTTCTCTGTGGTGTTTGCAGTAGTGTTAGTCTCGGTAGGCATTTACAGATATGGTTATTTTTCACTATGAAGTCATTTGAAGTGGAAATTGGTTATAAAACATCATAAAGCAGTAGTTCACAGAATTGTTATTTAGATATCTCAGTTATGTATCCCTTTACAGATGATTTTTTTTTCATATATTTAGATGAAATCTATAAAGTCTCTTTTACATTTTCTTTTTGGTACTTACCATTTTGTTGTTGTCTAAGAACGACGACGGTCCACCCCTGCCCCGAAAGAGGAGGAAAAGGTGAACGAAGAGCAGTGGTCTCTTCGGGAGGTCGTTTTTGTGGAAGATGTTAAGAATGTTCCCGTTGGCAAGGTTTGTTTAAGATGTCTAAGAATGATTTACTACAAGAATTAGAACACTATTGGTTGTCCAAGAATTTATGGTTGGTGAGTGAGCGTTCAGCCCTTTCTCAGAGCCGCTCCGTCTGTCACTTTCGGTGAGCCCTTAGCCTGCTGCAGATAGCTTCTCCATCATCTCTGTCCCTGAAGATGAACAGATGACTGGGGGCCCCTTCAGCATTTATGGTGATAGATTGCTTTCTTTAAAGAAAGGTGTTAATTTTGGAATAATTTTAGATTTGCTGAAAAGTTGCAAAGAGATTATATATGTATTTTTTGAGATTATATTACTCCATTCTTTGGAACTATTAGACAGTTCTGAAGGAGGGATCATCTTCCATAACATTTAAAAATCTTTATTGTCTTCAAGTCCCCTTCTAGTTTCTTTTCCCTGCTTTGTGGAGAGGGTCTCGCTTTCTTAGAAAACAAGTGGGTAGAGCCCATCAGCTGGAATGCCATTAATTTCACCTTTCCCTCCACACGTACTGAAAAACAAAATGGCTCTCTAGCTGCAGAGTATCTGCAAAGTAAAGGTTTTTCTGACCGCTCATTTGTTTCTGAAATTGATGGTCTTTCATTTGTACTTACGGGGAAGAGTAGGTATGCCATCCCTTGTAGTTTACAAAGGCCTTTTCCACACGCTATTCCATTTGATTCTCAAAGTAGAACTGTAGGTTCTGGGCAGGCGTTTCCTCTAAGATGATCACACTGGCTCACAGTCAGAAGCAGCAAGTAGCAGAGGTAGGACTCAGTATTCTGGTCTCAAGTCCGGTGCTTATCTTTCTGTATATTGCTGACTCTACCTGTGTTGTCCAAAACGGTAGCCACTAACTGTATATGTGACCAGTTTATTTATTAAAATTAAATAACATAAAAAAGCTCTTTAGTCACATTAGCTCCATTTCAGGTGCTCAGTAGCCACTTCTGGCTATTATACCTACCATATTAGGCTGTGCACATATAGAACATTACCGTCATCACGAAAGTTCTTTCACACAGCAGGACTCTGAACTAATATAGAGGAAGGATGGGAGAATTTCAAGGGTTATACTTCATGTTTTCAGCCAATTGCTAAACATCTACTGACAGTAAGCACTGTCAGTTCTCTAGTAAGCCTCAAATATAGACATCAACAACAAAGCTTTGGTGAGTCTGTTTAGGTTAATTTTTTTTCCCAAGTTCAGGTTAATTTTATAACTTGGTGATTATTAAAGAAATAAAAGAAATTAAATGCTTTCAATGTTAAGTTAGTTCAATGGATATAATTTGGATATTAATTTCATACAAGTTGGTGTTAATATCCAGCATATTTGCCTATACTTCTAGGTGCTAAAAGTGGATGGTGCCTATGTTGCTGTAAAATTTCCAGGAACGTCCAGTAATACAAACTGTCAGAGCAGCTCTGGTTCAGATGCTGACCCTTCTTCTCTCCTGCAGGATTGTAGGTTACTTAGAATTGATGAACTTCAGGTAGGTGTAGAGGGATCACTCAGCAGGTAAATGTGGGGACTGACTACTTGAGTGTATTACGGAGTTTGAGAGCAAGTTTCCTTTTCTGTCATGTAGGTTGTCAAAACTGGTGGAACACCAAAAGTTCCTGACTGTTTCCAAAGGACTCCTAAAAAGCTTTGTATACCTGAAAAAACAGAAATATTAGCAGTGAATGTGGATTCCAAAGGTAAAGATTTTGTAACTTTTTCAACTGGCATACTTTATATCCTATTAAAACTTGTGTAGTAAATGGGTATAGGATAAAGTGGTTTGAGGTGTTTGGCAGTTTTTGTCCCTTGAATGTAATGTTATAGAATAAAATGAATCTACATTTCAAATGTGACCAGAGGTGTTAAAATTTGGTAGTAGGCACTAATTAGAGATTACTAAAGAAGTATAACATTTTTTCTTACATTTATGTTTTCTGAAGGTGTGCATGCTGTTTTGAAGACTGGAAATTGGGTACGGTACTGTATCTTTGATCTTGCTACAGGAAAAGCAGAACAGGAGAATAATTTCCCTACGAGCAGCATTGCTTTCCTTGGTCAAAATGAGAGAAATGTAGCCATTTTCACTGCTGGACAGGTATAGAGCTTATTTTTGCTTTTAAAATTTGGTAGGACAACATTGACATTTTTTGTAAAGCCTAGGGCTGGGCTCTAATTTGCTTATTATTAAACTATTGAAGAATTTAGAATATCAAGCACAGTTAATACTGCGTTTCTTATTTGGTCAATATAAACTAATATGATTTGAAAATAAATATACCTCTTGTAAAAGGCAAAGATGCATTTTTGATTGGGAGCCAAATTTTATTATTTTCCTTCTTTTGTAGGAGTCTCCTATTATTCTTCGAGATGGAAATGGTACTATCTACCCAATGGCCAAAGATTGCATGGGAGGAATAAGGGATCCTGATTGGCTTGATCTTCCACCTATTAGTAGTCTTGGAATGGGTGTACATTCTTTAATAAATCTTCCTGCCAATTCAACAATCAAAAAGAAAGCTGCTATTATCATCATGGCTGTAGAGGTAACTTGACTTTTGAAACTATGTGGCATTTTAATCACAGGATACTGCTAGAATCTAGGGAAAACAGTCTTGAATAGATTATTTGTTAACCCTCTATATAGGTGGTAGTAGTCTATGAGGACAAGAGAGATGAGTGAACCAAAGATGACAGTGTAAGTGTTTAAGGCATGCACAGTGTTGTAGGAGCATGGGGGGCGGGTGCATATAAATCAAACTGTGACTGGAGAGAAGCCTTCTCTGAGGAGGTGATGCCTGAATACAGCTTTGAATTGTCAGACAGGAGTCTCCTAGACTGAAGGGGGGAGGTGTTATCCCTAGCACCAAGAACAGCCTTTATGAATCTCAGTGTGTTGGGAGACTGTGTACATTCTGTTGATACAACCAGAAGATAGGGCGCATATGGGTCAGTAAGTAACAAGTGCAAAGTCTGGAGAAAGGCACTAGGGTGCCTTGTGTGTTAACCTAAGGGGTGTGAGCTTCCCCTGATAGCTAGGAGGAGAAGGATTTTAAACTGGCTGTAGGGACCAGATAAAAAGGCTCACGAAGTTGTCCAGGTTAGAAACAAAATAAGCTTGAACTCTTGGAAATGAGGAAGAGGGGATGGATTCAAAGAGATCTTCAGGAAGTAGAAGCTCTAAAGCTTGGTGCTGGTCATCAGCAGTAAATGGCAGGAAGGAATTACAAAGCTCCTGATTTTGGTGTGGTTGGTGGGGAGAGGAAAAAATAGGAGGAGGAACAAAGGGGATGACGGAAGAGGCTGAGTTTAGTTTTGGACGTGTTACAGATGAGGTGTGTGTTAGATGAAAATGCCTCCCTCTCCTCCCGCACCTCTCCGCGGTGTCCCTCCGCAGCTGTCTGGAGGTTGGGGCTGGGCGCTGGCCGGCAGAACACTCCCTGTTAGCTGAAGAGAGTTCACCGACGGACATAGGTCGGGACAGGTCGTCTTTCTTTCCTGAATTCCAAAATGCCATCCAAAGCATCTTGGTCGGGTAGGAAAGCTAATAGAGCTGCAGTTTACAAATCAAAACCAGAACTTATTGGAGCGATTTGAGCAGAGTTTGACCTGATTTGACTTGAATTTTCAAAGGATCGGAAGTCGGGAGGCCTGTGAAGGGGGGCTGTTCAAATGGTCCAGGTGGGAGGGGATGGTGGCTTGGCCCAGGAGGTGGAGTTGTGAGGGAGAAGGGATTTGATTCTAGGTATACTAGGTATGGCTGATGGTAGAGCCAACAGGATTTGCTTATGGCTCAATATAGGTGTCAAATAGAGGAAGCAAGAGGGCCAAAGGTTTTGGAGGAATGAAGTTGGCATTTATAGAGATGGAGACCAGGGCTGGAGCAGGTTTGGGAGGGGGGGCAGACAGCAGGAGTTTGGTTTTAGACATGCAGAGTTTGAGGTGCCTATCAGATATCCAAGAGGAGGTGGTGAATGGCAAGTTAGATCTGTTAAGTCTGAGGACCTGGAGCAAGATGGAGAATTAGACTCAGGAGCTGGCAGTACATCTGTGATATGAGAGGAATTACACCAAATGAGATTATCGAGGTCATGGAGAAGAAAAGAGGCCTAAGGACCGAGCCATGAGATTAGTATCAGCATTTAAATGTCCAGGGAGATAAAAAGGAACCGCATAAGAGACTGAGAAGGAGCAGCATCCACAGGGGTTGGAGGAAAACTAGAATGAGTGTTGTGTTGGAAGCCAGGTGACGAGTGTGTGTCAAGCAGGATGCAGCGATCAACCACGTCCAGTGATGCTGTAGGCCAGGCAAGGCGAGTACTGAACATGATGGGATTTGGCTCCATCTGGGTCATTCTTGACAGCAGGGATGAAAGCCTGATTAGAGTAGGCCAAGGAGAAAATAGACAACTCTTGTGAGGAGATTTTCTATAAAGAATGGAAATAGAACTTGGTATGGGGCTTACCCTCCATTAGGTTGGAGGTGAAAGCAAACTTGTTAGAATTGCATCTAAAATAGTCTGAATCCAGGTACTCCTGAGAGCTACCTGTAAGCTTGTTTAGAGACGTGGTATTCATATTCTTGGTTTAATTTTGATTGTAACCTGTTAGACTAGAGGTTCCAAACTGGTAGGGGTGTGGTTAAGGAGGTGGCTGTGGCCTGAACTTGACCCCTAGAAATAACCTTCGTGTCATTTTAAAATTCTTGATTGGCTGCCAACATTAAAAAATCACTGGATTTTTCTTTAAAATCCAGATTTTCAGTTGTTCTTAAAAAATGGGAAGATCTGGAAACATTGGGCCATCAAAAAGCCATTAGCGTGCCCCCGTTAGAGGCTGTATGTGGTCTCTCCAACTTATTGCAGATCCCCATACTTAACTGCTCTGAATGTTGCCCTTTATTTATGATACAGTTTGTGTTATCTCTTTACCCCCAGCCTCCTCCATTCATTTGTATTACTTCGGATACTTATGCCGGTATTTGATTCTGTGACCCCTGCACTCTGTCAGCATCTCAGGGGTAAAGATAAAATGTGTCATCATCCCATGGGTAGGGATAAAGTGTACCATCATTTATCTTTGTACCTCAGTGAGCTGGGCTTGGTGCACAGTAGACCTGCAAGAAACGTTTCACTGAATTCACTCTGCCCTTTGCTATAAATAACGAATACAACATATAGTGATGCCAAGTAAACTCTTGCTTATAACACAATAAGTGTGGTATTGATAACTCTCAAGAGTGAGAGCCCGTGTAGAGCAGGTTGGAGATGAGAGTTCCCTGTAGCTGCTTCCAGCCAGCTGACTGGCTGATTGCTTGAAAACCTTTTATGTCACAGAGTATGCAGCAGAATATCTTGACTTTACTTTCAATAGTAATGTGCTTTTTATTCTTTGGAGAGCCTTTGACATATTCTCTCAACATACTAATGTCATTGGACTTTGGAAAGTTTAATCTTACGTGTTTTACCTCGTACGCTTGAACTGGAGCTTAAAATGTAAGGGCTCACCTCAGTGTCTTAGTGCCACAGTCAAAATGGCCTGTCTCACATGTGGCAGGTACTGAAGATGGTTTTTTAACTGTATTTTTTTGTCCTTCCTCCACTGCCAACCCTCACTTTTACCTTTCCTCCTCTCCATACGATTGGGGGGAAGGAATAGGTTATTTAAGTAGTTTGGGGGAGAGGTGGTAATTTGTTCAAATACATCTTTCTTCTTCCCTTTGTATTCCACATACTCTTTTCCCAGTTCTTAATTCTAGTTAAAATGAACAAATTTACTTGTTTTCCAAAACTAATGCATTATATTTAGTCCATAAAAATCCCTTAACTACAGTTTTACATTCTGAAAGAACTACATTTGAACTCCTTGATTTATTCATGCTGTGTATTTGTTCAAGTTGCTATAGATTACACTGGCTTATAAACAACAGAAATTTCTTAGAGTTCTGGAGGCTGGAAGCCCAAGATCGAGGTGTGGGCAGATGTGGTGTCTGGTGAGGGCCCACTACTGTTGCATAGAGAGCCATGTATTCTCATGTGGTGGGACGGGAGAAGTCTTATCTCTTTTCTGAAAGGTCTCACCTCCAAATCCCATTACACTGGAGATTAGCTTTCAACATACGAATTTTGGGGGCCATAGATCTTCAGTCTCTTGCAGGCTGTTTCTCAGGTAGTTAATGAAATGTTCTGTAAATTATTAATATTACCATGTCTTTGACAGTGAAGTACATTAGTTGTCACCTCTGAGGGATTGCATCTGTCATGATTTCTGGGGGAGTTGAAGGTTTTGGTTTTCATGTACCACATGTGTTATAACTTTCATGACCATAAGAGGGTATGAGTAAGCCTATATAAACTATATAGAATGTATACCCTTTGCTTAATTGATTAACAATACTAATAGGATTCTAATTCAATAGTTACATAAGATCTAATATAAACCAGGAGTTGGCAAACTGAACTGTAGGCCAGATCCAGTCACTGTCATTCATTTGTGTATTGTATATGGTGGCTTTCCTGCCACAGCCAGAGTTGAGTTAGTTGCAAAAGCTGAAAATACTTACTGGTTCTTTACAGAAAATCTATCCACCCTTTTCTGTTCCTGTCAGTTGTATACTGTGCTTAAAGGGTACCCTTAATTTTAACTCCTTTGACAGGCT